TTATACTAAATTAACGCCATCAGCCGCATATACTAAAGTTCCTATGGATGATGTATTATTTATAATTGCTTATTTATTTGTTAATTTAATAGAATATATAATACGAATAACTAACAAATTATTTAAATATAGGTTCTTATATTTGATACAAAGTCTTTAAGTTGGTCTAATAAAGTAATTATACATGAATCTAACTTGTTTCATGTTTATTGCAGACAATTTTTAACCTATCAAAATTATAATATTTAAGACAGCTAAATTTAGTAGCAATTCTATTCAATCTCGTGTTGGGCATTCCGCAGTTTCAAGTGAATATAAGCAAATATAGACTTATTTTTTGAAATATCATTTTCAAATATATTAAATTAATTATTTAAAATTTAATATCTTTTTAATCAGGCAATGATGGAAATATTATTATTTATGGGGGTTCGAATTCCTTTCTTCAAGTTTACCCTGATCTCGCAATTTTAAATACGAATAACTGGATATGGTCTATTCCTAATATTCTTACAGTAAATGCACCACCACCATTAAATCGCCACTCTGCGAATTTGTATGGGATTTATATGATTCTTGCATTCGGTAAATATCATGTTTAATGTTAAAAGTTCTTGGTTTAAATGCTCATCAAAGTTCCATAATATATTTAATTTTAGGCAGAAAAACTGATCCTGTTAACAAAATGGCACCTAAATATGAAAATAGTATATATATTTTTAATACGGAAACTTATTCCTGGATTACATCATTTGATACAATTGATACATCCAATAAAACAGGTAGTAATGGAGAGACAAAATCAATAGATAGTAAAAATATTTCAACAAATCAGATAATTTTATTTGTTGTGACAGGCGTTATTGGGATAATTTGTTTATCCTTTATTGTCTTGATTTATAAAAAGTATCAAAACAAAAATGTTAAAAGTATTCCAACAGCTGGTAGTAATATAAATGATATGTAACAAGGAAACCATATAATGCCAGCGTTGACCAAATAATTGGTTAAAAAAAAAACCTTTGCTAGGTAATAATTGATGTGTCACTAGTCCACAGACTAGTCAAATTGGTCAAATAATCTGAGTTGGTTAATTTTGTTATTCAATAAGATATATATGAACTTTATGTTTTTCTAAAATTGAGGGTTTTTAGTTTTTAATATTATATCCATGATATTTTACTAGATGATGAATCTGTCATTCGACGACAAATCATATTAATCTATTTTTAATTAAAAGAAGAATGTATGTAAATTATTTGTATTGAATTTTTAAAATACATATTTGTATCAACATCATAGAATTTTAAGATGTACGATAAATATTTTATTAAAAAGGATCATATTCACGTATTATAAAAAATTACAAAGTATATCGATTAGTAACTTTAGGTACATGCTTCCGTTTCATTTCACCTATAATTATTTCACAACATCTTAATTCGATGACAATTAACTTACAAACAAGTTTATTTTACTGACAATAGCCAGAATTACTTTATCGGTGAAATAAGCTGTCAGTGTAATGAACTTGCTAATGAATTACTCGTCGGCAAAATAGGCTTATCTGTAAATTAAATAGCGAAGTGATTTTTGGTGAGATGAATGCCACTGAGGTACAAAATGGGTAACTTTAAGTTGGTGTTAGAATTTGTTAATGGTGGTAGCCTATGAGATTATTTGGAAAGAAAATGTACAAAAGAAATTTATAAAATTTCATAGGCTGAATTTATCAACATTTCAAAGGAAATTCATCTCAGATTAACGTATTTATACAGCAAAGATATTTAACATAAAGAATAATTTTTCAATCAATATTAATCGCAATTCTAAACATTTCTTATAAATCCTTTAGTGTTCTAATAATATTTTAATAGATGATAGTAAGGTTTTAATTTTAGCTTTTGGAATGTCAAAACAATTAACTGGCATAATTAACTGACACTACAATTTCAAGCTTAGTGTACTGGCATATGATGACTCTCAGAACTCTTGAATGAAAATAAGTTATATATGAAATCTGATATTTACGGCTTAGGTTGTTTTGTTTTAGAAGCTTGCAGACGAAATTACATCCTCATAATTTTTCCAAAATAGTCATAATTTTAAAAACAATAGAGAAAAAGATGCTTATAATAATCATCAATATTATTTTGTTTTTATGAGCAATACTGAGCTTTTGAACTACGACATTCAACATTTATGAAATTTTAAATGAACTTGAAAATTTATCATTAGAAACAGCTATTGAATTCATTACAAAATTTACTCGTAAAGGTAATCATAAAAATCTACACGTAACTATTAGTATGTAAGTATAAATTTTTTCACTTTAAAATAAATATTTCATAATAAATCATTCACCATCTTTTAACTAAAAATACGCTCTAATATATAAATGTGAATGAAGTGTGCTAGCATAGATTTTTTTTAGAACCGAAAGACATTAGAATAAAATATAACATAGTTCATTAGAAGCGCTATTAGAACATGTGCTGTTGCTTGGCTTATTCTGTTTTTTTCGAGGTTTAGATTTGTGTACCTATTATAAACTAAAAACCTGTCACGTGCTAATATACTTGTCCTAGAATTAGGGTACTTTCAAGTCATGATCTGAATGACTTTATGACTTGTTATATCAATCATTTACTAGATAAGCATCCTTATTACATAATAAATTGGTGTTTTATTAAGTGCACAAATTATAATACATACTCTAAATGTTCATATCTATTATGAGTACATTTAGGAAGATCTGAATGTACAATTTAATTAAATCAAGAAAATATTTTTAAATAAACCATTTTTGCTTAAAAATTTATCTAAAAAAAATCTTTATGCTTGTTTACAGAAAACCAATACTTATAATTGCAATATTTAATGTAATCAACAAATAAATTTAAGTAATCAGTTAAAATTTGTAAATTAAGTTTTGTAATGTTTGTTAATGTTTTGAAATTAGATACGTACTGTCTTAGTTGATCAGTTGTCTAGGTCATAACAGCTTCAAATATGGAATATCTACAATATTGATTCATAAAAAGACAGAGTCTTGTGAGTTTTTATTATAAAGTTATATAAGCCATTAAGAATTGTTAGATTACATCGTAGAAAAGAAAAAGGGGATCTCTTGCAGTATGAGTGATACCTATTCTGAATCAATTGATTTAGAGTCACTTAAACCGAAAGAGATTTGAAAAAGAATTAAATTTTTAAATTTTATGGGCTAACGAACTGAGAATAGGATTTACAGTAAAGAAAACATTTTACAAAATAGATCTAAATAGATATAATGAATAGTAGATTGTATTTTAACTTTCAACTTGTAAGATATTCACTGTACCTATAAGACTTATTCTTATCTTTCATCTCAGCATTTATGTAGACTGATATTAATGTTGTACCTGAAGTCAAAACTCACCTAGAATTGTAATTTCAAGCACACGAAACAATAATTATAATTTTAAAGGTTTAATACTGACTATGTGCGACTTCAGATATCTGAAGTTGTAATTATATGCGTATGTTAATTCCAGGCATGATGTTAACTTAAGGATCTAGTATCACCAGTCTAAAAAATTTGCCGATTATTGAAAAAATTGTTTCGCAATTAGTTTAGGGCTAGGGTCCAACCAGTAGGTTATTGTTTGTTTAAAGGGTTATAGTTTTAGTAAAACTCCACGAGGAAATTTTTTTGTTAGTATGCAGAAGGCACTTTCATAGGCAAAATTTGAGCTACGAGCGTTTTTTTGTTGGTTTTTTGCAATTTTTTGTGTTACACGAGATCCTGAAATCTGATTGGCCATCAAATTTTTTTCGACTGATGATTTAACTACTATATGTTAACATGACGTTCATCATTACAACTTTGTAAAACAATGACAAAAATATCCGAGTCCGACAAAAATAATGTCTTCATTAAGATATTTATATTAGTTTCGCTTACATGTATTTATGCATTCTTATTCTTTATGACAGCTGGATTTAAGCTCATGAAAAAGGCGATGAATCAATCAGATCGCAATTTCTAGAATCAAAGATAATATAATTGTAAACAGAATGTATGACTATTACTAACAATACATTGGAAGTACAGAATATTTTTTAATGAGTTGAATTTTGCATGCTTCTTTAAAGGAAGACGAAGCATCCGATTAGATAAGGCTGTGTGCACTTTTTTAAAATCTCGTATTATATATATAATTTCTACTTATTTCATTGTGACAATGTGATTTATTAATCGTACTTGAAGTTGCAACTTTAAACACCAGAAGTTGCATCTAGCGTACTAAGTTCAAGGGTTAATTTCATTTAAGTGCAACTTCAGGTAGGTATAAACTTCAAGCACGAAAGATTCACTATGAAACCTTATTGATTAAACATGTAAATAACGGATTGTTTGAAGTTAGTTTTCTATAATATTTTTTCTTATCTATAATTAATTGCTATGTTATATTTAAAAAAATTTAAACTTTGAGTTAAATGCAAACCATTTTTACTCGATCAAGATTTGTGGCTTTGTTTTACAAATTGTATTTAATCATTTTAATGGAATTGTATCCAAATTCGTTAGACTATACTACGAAGGATTGATTATAGCTACAGAATTGAAGAGCACTGTCGATGTTTTATATTAAATATAAATGAGAATCAGGTCATATAACACGACTTTAAAGGCTTAGTAGTAAAATAAACAGAATTTATATGTATGAAAAAAAGATAGTCACATGCAGTGTACAAGTTATGACAGGTTTTCCAAAATTTGCCTCAAATAATAATTATGTTACGTTACAGACAAAACCAGGTTTTGAATTTCAGGGTACATTATTGAATTTTCTGTATAAATACTTTAGGGATTCTGGAATTATGTATTTAGAGATTTCATAGAGATGACAGTGGTGATAGTGAACGGCTTACGTTACACATACATACAAGCTAAGTAAAAATATATTAAGAATATAATCATTAATACTATAACTTTATTTATTTATATAAAACTAATCTTACTACGTACGTAATTTACAAAGGAAATTTATAGAAATTAACTATATTAATGTGTATTTAAAAAGGTTAATCTAGAATTATGATACTTCAAGATAAGTGTCGTACATAATATCATGATGAAGATTGCGTCACGAGCTCTTGAGGAATCACGGTATAAGGTTAACAATTTGCTTACCAATCATAACTAAATTATGCTTAGTGTGGATTCTTGAACCAGACATTTTATTAACGACTGAGTTCAAACTGGGTTGTCAGAATTAAAATGCAAGTCTGTGTTTATATACATGTTTACAAAATTTGAAATAATAAACGTAATGCAATAATATTACCAAAAATTATAGAATTCTGTCTACTTCTAATAGTTCATCGATTTTTATTATTATTGAAATTTGGGTAATTCTAAAATTTCCTAATCAATTCAAAACATCGAAGATTTTATTTAATTGATATTTGAGCGATCTATTAACATTTAATTAAACGTCGTTCTCACTACATTTAGTTCGTTAACATTCGGCTGTTGCATGTATGCTAAAGTTATTTTATGATAAGGTTATTTGTGCGGTTTCTTTGAATGCTCAACTAATTATAAAGATTGCCAAGCCAAAATGTTTGTAAATTGAAATGATAAAATTCAATTATTATTTTTTTTTAACCAATGAACTTTATTAAACTACGATGATTATTTGAATATTTATTAATAATAAACACGTTTTTCCTTTTAAAATATTTTCCACCAAGTAAAATTTATTCAAGACACTTTTATTCCATTGATTAAGATGCTTGAGAACGCCCATAAATTGTTTTAAACAAAAGAAATAGGCCTACTTAGAGATAAAATTGCTCATGCTTAATGTGCAGATGTAATAATACTCCTGCTTGTTGCGAATAGTCATAATTACAAGTGTTGACTAATAGCTCGGTTTTCATCTAAAAAGATCATCTAGGGATAGAATCATTTTGGCGAAAAAGTTATAACCAAAATAAAGGATTGAATACTAAACATTCTATAGTTATCGGATGCTACCAATAAATTATATATCATTTATTATCACAATCAGTAAGAATTAGAGACTCGAATATGTCTATAAATTAAACAACTTTATCGTAAAAGTATAAACATTTATGAAATAATTTTAAAACAAATAATGCATAAATTTACATGTTACAAATCAATATAAATACCTAACAAATGAACTACAACTAATATAAATGTATGTTATGTAAGCTAACTTTAATCATATTGTACACTTGCTACAACTCCCTCCATACAAGCAACAACTTCTGAATCATTGTTAACAACTAAGTGCAAAAAAAAAGATTATATCATGAATATCTAATCAAATAACTTTTTATAACTCAAACAAAGTAACACATACTTATAATAGTCATGTCAAAATGCAGGACAACATTCGTTTCTTGTCCATGATGCACAAACATTGTGGTACCACAGGAAAATTTTCCAGGTAAAATAGGACACTCGCCGCCAGACTTTCGCACCCATCCTTCACAAAAATCTTCAGGATAACTATTTATGGGATATCCATTATAAAATGCCGTGCCGATTATACTAGCGCCTTCTCCAATAGCAATTTCAGTTTCACCACTAATATTTATGCTTAACATTCCTCCTTTGACAATCGGATTTGGGCTATAAGATAAAGAGGTAAATTTACTTGAATAGTTTCCAGGGCAATTCTTAAAACCAGAGAGTTTATCTGAAGAATAATCTTCGGAAGAATAAACCGCGGATACAGCAAATAATACGAAAATTACGAAAAATTTATTCATTTTGGTTTGTATTTTTGTATTTTTTTTATCGACTTTGATATTGGAAAAAGGATCGAGAGTCCCAATTTATATCAAGATTAAAGTTACAAGGCTGTGCACGCATTTTCATTTTTAACTTTAGTATAATCATTTGATTTTGGTTATAATCATTTGACTTTGGTGATTCGTTAAATTTTCATTGTAGCAATAAAAATATCATTTTCTTATTCATAATGTATTTTGAATGAATACATTCCTATTTTGGTTTAAAAATGGTCAAACTTGATGGTTTCACTTTTTTTTAACCTCAAAACTTGTACATACGTACTTAAGTACTGTACATGAATCGTTTTTTATTATTATACAGTATAGGATCTCTTTACCCGCCAAGATCTATTGTTATTTGTGGCTTTGTTTTGACAAAACTAGTTACACGCACATGCTTCTCTACATACATAATATATATAATACAGTATCGGTACATACTGTAGTTATTAAAATAATGCGCAAATCTCTCACATAAGATTCATGCATTTATTTAAAACACTTTCGATCATTTTATTAGGTTAAATATTACCTAATTACCAGAAATCTTTATTGGATACGTCTTTATGTAATACAAAAACAATAATATTTGATATAAAAAAAAAGAATAGATTATCTTTCAAAATTAAATGCCAAGAATATATTAATCTGTTTAAACTGTTAGCTTTGATGTAATTGATATTCGGTCTTCAAATTATAAAGCAATATCTAACAGCAGAGATGGTGCCCGATCCAAAGTGAATCCCTCTCGCCTGTGATCAATCACAAATTAAATTATTTATATTGGATTCAATTGTGAT